CCACGGTCGTCCGCAGGCCACGAAGTGAAGTGTCCGAACGTCATAGGGCGGGAAGCTGGGTGTGGGTGGTGGCGAAGAGTCGTGTGGATATTTGGTAGAGCTTGCACTGCCCCCCCACAAAGTGGGGGTATTGGCTGGCGTCGCATGAAAACCCTGGCACTGGTGAGAACACTGAGCGTTCGGGTAAAGTGATTGTTGTTGTTGTTGTTGTTATTGTTGTTGTTGTTGTTGTTTTAATAGTCTGGGGGCAACGTTTCGATTCACTGGCTGACGCCGTACCGCCGACCCCTTGGGGCGGCACTAAGAGTGAAAACGGAGTTTGCGGAACGATTTCTTGGGAAATTTGGTTTCAGCTTCTTGGGATTTCATCGGGGGCGGTTGGCGGATCGCCGCTCTGTTCTTGGGCTTCTCTGGGCTCTCATGGCAGCACTTTGAGACCTCTTGGGGGGCCGTTTTGAGGCCTCTTGGGGGCCTCGCGGGAGCCTCTTGGAGGCCTATTGGCGCCTCCTCAGGTTTTTTCGGAGCCGAGTGCTCGAAATGTTCATATGGGTTCCCCCTCTGACGCTTGGCGCTGCGGGCCTCGCGCGGTCTCTCTCCGCGTAGCCCCGCGCGCGCACGCGCGCGCGGGCGCGCCCAGATTTGTACCGAGCACGCGCATCATGACCTATGTCCCACCCTCTGCCTCAGTCAGGCGGCTGAGGCAGGAGGTGGGAGCCTCAGGAAACAGCCTCTGGACCCGAGACCCCGCCAAAGGACAGGAAAGAGACCACAAACAGCCACAGAGGGCCACTAGGGTGGAGGAAGGGAGGCGGGGTCCGAGGGACCGCAAGTCAAAAACCCGAAGCTTAGGTCTCTTAGCCCCCCGACCACCACCTCCATAATCGAAGTGGTTCCCCCTCTGGGCCTCCTCTTGGGGCCGTCCTGGGGCCCTACTGGGTCGTTTTGGAAGCTTCTGGGGCCGTCTTGGGGCCGTCTTGGAGCCCTCTTGGGGGCCTCTCGGGCTATCTTGGGTCGATCCTAAAGGCTTCTTGGGCCGTTGTGGGCCTCGTGAAAGCCCAAGAGGCGAATGTGCTAAAAATACACGTTTTCCCTAGGGAATGGGACGGGTTTTGCTTCTGGGGGGCCTCTTTGGACGCCTCTTGGTGGCTTCTTGGGGCGTCTTGGGGGCCTCTGGGACTGTCTGGAGGCGATCTTGGGCGTCTTGGAATATCTCTCGGCGATGCGTAGCCCTCTTGGACCGTCCGGGGGGCCTTTGGGGGCCCTCTTGGCCCGTTTTGGGGCCCCCTCTGAGGCTCCAAGGGTGCGGCCGCCCTCCCCCCACCCCCAACCCGGCCGGACCAGGCTGCCGGGGGAGGGGTTTGGGGAGGGGGAAGCATCTCACACGCCGTGACCCCAAGGGGCCGGCGGATTCTTGACCATGTTATATATATATATATATAATGTATATGTTTATGTATATATAGATATATGTGTATATATATATATATATATATATATGATTATGTGTTATTTTCCCTTCGAAACCTGCCTGTAGGAGGACATTCCCGACCTGAAGTTCCGACCCCGAAAGCTGACCACATCTGACGCTGCGGCCCCCGGAGAGCGGGCCTCTCACCCTGCTGGGGGGTACGCGTCTCCCGTTTGCACGAGGCTGCAGCAGGATCGGGGCCTTTTGGTTTTCTGCGCGATGTGAGATGTTTGGGGGGACGCAGCTGCTCGCGTCAGGGTGGCAGTCTCCGACCACACCTGCCCCAGCCCGACGTGTGGATGTGCAGCCGCAGTGCTGAAGGGCACTGGCCCGCGCGGATGACAGCCAGAAGGAGCTAGAACGCATGGCCCACATTCGGTCTGTGCGACGCAAGCGCCGGCACGACGTCGTCGTGGGACTCCAGCTCCTCCCCTCCCTCCCCCTCCCGCCCCCTCCCCTCCCTCCCTCCCCTCCCTCCCTCCCCTCCCTCCCCTCCCTCCCCTCCCTCCCTCCCTCCCGTATTGCCGTAGCCATAATTGTGGCGCAAACCGCAGTCCTGGATCGAGGTGTTTGGAACTGCCCCAGGAGCAGCGCACCTCGCGCGGGGCTGGCTGCCATGCGCGCCAGTCGCCTCGCCTCGCCCTGCCCAGGCGAGTGGAGGCTAGCCGCGCGCGACGAGGTTTCTCCGGCCGGCGCTGCTGCAGCCAGCCAGGGCCAGACCTCCGTGCCTCTGCGCGGAGACTCGGCTACGCGGCCCGCGTCGGCCGCCGCCCGCACACGCAGGACGTCGCAGCGCTGGTCGCCGCGCTGGTTCGCCGTCCCGTTCTGCTTCCACCTGCTGTGCGGCAGCATGACGTGCCGCCACCGGACGACCATCAACGTGTGCTACTTCGTGACTATGAGGCCGGTCTTGTACATGCAGATGGTGATGCTGCGGGTGCCAAGGTGGCCGAGGCCGCATGGTGCTCGCTGCCTGGAGCGCTGCCGCCCCCGGCGCCCCGCGCGCCGATTTGGTGGCCCTCGCCGCCGCCGCCGCGGCTGA